CTTAATTTGTACTCATTCTTCTATTCCCAAAGGAAAATGTAGGTTTATCAACAACAACATAATTTGGGGAAGTAAACATTTAAAAAAAAATACGCTGCAGTAGTGACAAACAGTATTCAAAATGTACTTAACTAAAGGGGCGTTAATGCAGAAGGATGGTATGGTATGAGCGACAGCGTAGGCGTGTTACCAACAGGTATCGATACATACCCAAGAAAGTTTTTGAATAAACTTTCAAGGAGGCTTTTTTTTTTTTAATCATATAGAGCTCCCATCAGATTGCATTAGGGACTCTATTATCACAGCTTCAGAAGCCTTCTGAAAACTTTGAGAAAGAAAAAGCTGTTCCTCCCTTCCCTCCCACAAATATTTCCAAAACTTCTAATTCTGGATAGGACCGAAAAACTAAGTGCTACAGAAGTACATAAACCCCAATGTCTGCACTGATGTTTTAGCCTAATTTCATTGATACAAATCAGGATAATTACTATAGTATTGTGTAATTAATTTAACTCAGTTCTTACAAGCTATTGCAACTTTTTAATTGTAACATTTGAAGGCAGAGCGCCGAGTACTGGATGCAGCATCTGTCACTGCAAATGACCAGTTCATAAGTATACTGCGAGTAACTTCCCATTGTTGAAGTTTGCTAGAGGTAATTTTAACTATCAGACATATGAAGATTAGCTTTGGGAAATGAATTAAACATGGAAGACAGAATTCCAGCTCAATATGACTGACTGGGGTGAGGTTTTGGATGCCTTCTCTGGATGCAAGGAGAACATTTCAACCATCCTACAACATAGGCCTCAAATGGACAGTACGCTTAGACCACCTACACCTTGGGCTCTTCGCGTGGTCAAAGAGAATTTATTAGTTTTAAGCATGATAGAAAAAAAAAAAAAAAAAAAAAAAACACAGGGCATCCAAACAACAGCACCGAGACAAAAAAAGCCACAAAACAGTGGCTTGAATTAATCCACCCACGGTAATGCTCTCTGGCATTGGAACTCTTCGTTATGCGCCACTGGCTGATAGCGATGCCACTGCATAGTTTTTGGATACGTAACAGGAATACAACAGAGTTCCTCGCTTTTTATCACAAGGATAACTGAAGATAGACATTGCGATAGCCAAGGGGCGAAAGAATAGCAAAACACCATGAGCCTGCTCCAGCTACAGCTGGTGTCTGTGGGAATCTACTCTTTAGTGAGGACGTATCAGGCTCTACGTGCACCTGAGAACTAGCTCTTATTTATAAACATCAGAGTAGAAGCTATTTTGCTGGCAGTAACAGAAGCCACATCCAAAATATTGTATCATTTAAGATGTTAATTATTTCTTTGGAAATTCCTTTCAATACATAATATGTATACCTATTTCTTTGTAATTTTGCCTTCACAAAAAATTTCACTCAGTTTTTTAAAAAAAACAAAACAGTAAGATAGTTGTCCTGGTTTCGGCTGGGATAGAGTTAATTTTCTCTCTAGTAGCAGGCATAGTGCTGTGTTTTGGATTTAGTAGGAGAAGAATGTTGATAACACGCTGATGGTTTTAGTTGTTGCTCAGCACTGCTTATGCCAGTCAAGGACTTTTCAGCTTCCCATGCTCTGCCAGGTGCACAAGAAGCTGGGAGGGGGCACAGCCAGAAGAGTTGATCCCAACTGCCCCAAGGGCCATTCCATACCATACGGCGTCATGGGCAGTATAGAAACTGGGGGGGTTGGCCGGGGAGCAGCGATTGCTGCTCGGGAACTGGCTGGGCATCGGTCGGCGGGTGGTGAGCAATTGCACTGTGCATCACTTGCTTTGGATATTATTATTATTATATTGTTATTATTATCATTACTATTTTACTTTGTTTCAATTATTAAACTGTTCTTATCTCAACTGAGGAGTGTTTCTCACTCTTACTCCTCCGATTCTCTCCCCCATCCCATCGGGGTAGGGGCAGTGAGCGAGCGGCTGCGTGGTGCTGAGCTGCCGGCTGGGGCTAAACCACGACAATATTAAAATCGTAACTAGTCGGTAATCTTGAACTGTGGAAAGACCCTAAGAAAGTGAAACAAGTTACACTAACCTTTCATTCCAGCCAATAGCAAGTTCACATAAGTGTTCTTCCATTTCAAACATTTAACTCATTATTCATGAGCAGACCGGTCTACTTTTTAATATAATTGCTTAATTGAACAAAACCTAAGTTTGAAAAAAATGATGAGATGTATACAAGAAATTCCAAAAGAAAGCTCACAAAGATGATGATCATTAAATAGCACATAGTAAGAGTAAACTGCAAGTGAACTCTTTTGTATCCCTGCATATCCAAAATGTTTCAAAGACTGATACGCTGAAATATTCACAGCAAGTGAACTTTTCCCCCCAAATTAAGGATTAAAATTGGCATACCAGGGTACACTGGCCTGTCAGATGTAACGACGGGGTTTGTCCATATGTTTTCCTTGTGAAAAGACAACTTTGTAATGTTGCAGTCATTGAAACCTTGCTTTTACCCCAGGAGTACCACTTGCACTAAAGGCTAGGGATGATATAAAAACACCAGGGACAATGTTATAGAAGATGTTTCAAATTCTTTGCTAAGAATCAGAGTATCCATCTTGCTTGCGTACTTTTCCTCTTACCACCTTTGTTTTGCACACCGAGAACCTAAGTACCTTCAGCTGCTTACAACTGCTTTTGTGCAAAATGCTTTTAAGGTGCTTATAATGTGGTGCTTCTAAGCAAGCTAAAAGAAAATACCAATATAAACACTGTTAAATGATTCATGAATAAAGCCATTAAAGACCAGCTGCTACCTTACGGGAAAGCTGAAGACAATTCAAGTTTGACATTCTAGTTGTGTCCCACGCCTCGCATTATCCTCTATCCCCAACACAGTTTTTACTAGTACATTTCAACCCACATTATACCTTGACCTTGGGCTAAGGTGGCTTTATTTCCACCACTGTTTTGTTGGTTTGGTTTTTTTTTTTCCCCTTAGGGTGAATTCAAATTCTTCTGCCAGTCATTTGTAATTTTACAAAAAAATTATACCGATAGACTGTAGACAAGAGGTTTACAGGCACTCTTGCTGGCAAAGGTCTTCAGTAATGAAAAGAAGGATGAACCAGCTGCATAAGGGGCAGATTTTGTACTAAACAATAAGCTTTCCAGGAAGCAGGTGTGTTCTTTGATAAGCTTTCAAGCATTTCAAACAGGCACCTCAAAACCAGGCACAAATGGCCCCTAAAGCTTCCAACATCTATCAAACACTCAAGAAATTTAGTATGGGGTATGTTCTGCATGATACAAATAGCACACCTATGTTTGCTATATTCATTAAGTCTCAAATCTACATATATTCATACCTAACTATTTGGCCAGATAATTTCCATCTTCCCCCACCACAACAAAATAAAGCAGCTTATCTAATAGTACTTCCAATGCCACCAAGTACTTCACAGGTATAAGCAAAAAAACAGCCAGCACCCTCTGCCTTTTATGATCTGAGTTACTACTGCCACTCTTGGCAGCTGGGCCAGAATTCTCCCGAAAGCTTTTTTTTTCTGTCTCAAAATGCCAAGTTCTGCCATCCTGGGTGTCTTGTAATCGGCTACCAAAGGTATCCGAAACAGGAAATTCAACGATGGCAAAGCAGTCTGAACTACATTTGATTTTTGGTCACTTGGATTCTCTAACTGTTCACAGTCTAACTGCTGGTCACTAATATACTTAATATTTAAAATGCCTGTCATCCCACTATGGCCGCATTATTGCACAGTAGTGTCCTCAACTTTTGAAAATACTTTTAAGGTCATTGTCTCTGAATGCATTCATTCCCAGTCTACCAGCAGTTAGCACAGGTTTTGAGTCAGAACACCCCAAGATAATTCTGGCCCTGAAATTAATTTCCTCTCCCTCTCAGCATTTAGAAACAGCTGAAGTCCTAACACCAAGAGAGGGCAAGCGAGTGCTGGCGACAGGATATTGTCAGTCACTTTCCCCTCACTGTGAAATTTCTTTCTTAGAATTCCCTTATCTGGGCACACTGCAAGGCTTATTTATTTTCCCAAGCTACCCCTACAGTTAGGCAAATAGAATTTTGCATTTATGTTCTGTAGTATTTGTACATGCGGCAAGAGATTCAGATAGAAGCAACGTTCTATAAAAAAATCAAATAAATAAAAAATTAAATCCACATGCCAAGTTCGTTATAATAAAGTGTCAGTTTGTCTTATATGCCAAACAAACTTAATATTGGCTATATTCAGTAGGAACGACTGCCAAGGAAACAGTAACATAGTCATTGTACAAATGGATAGACAATATAAATAACAAAAATTATTGGATTGCATGATGTTGTCTTAAAGTGGTATCAATGTTATTTAGATCCTTAACGTTGAGAGCTTACACACATACTTTCTCCAGCTCAGTGCAGGACACAATACTGTTTGTGGTAACAACTAGAAATGTTCATTTTCCTTTAAGAGGCCATTTGTTAACCAGCATTTCTTTTGGGTCACAAGCGATCAAATTAAGTTTATGGGTAAAGTGCAGAATCTTACACATCCCTTTTGTTTGTATTTCCACATAAATTATCAGTTACTGGCACCATGCAAACACAGACCTTCCAAATTAACACTAACGCATTTCACACTGGCACAATAAATTAGTCAGCTTTTCATAGTAGTAATGAACATGTTACATTAAGTTGAATGAATTCAGTGCCCAATTACAAAATTAAGAATTTGACCTTCACGACAGGGTCTAAAGGTGTGAAGAAAAGAAAACTTACACTGACACTTTATGTACAACTTGGTCATTGGCAACGGTCCCCTAAACCATTTTTAAATGAACCCAGAAAAACTATACAGAATGTGAAATAATATTTGCAACAGATCTCTTAAAGGACAGTGTAGAGAAATTCATTATGGTGTACCTGATGTTTAAATTAATTTAACAGATACAGCCTGTAAAACAACACAGTATGAACCTGTGGATTTTTTTTTTTTTCTTTTTAAAAAAAGGACTTTTACAGAATTCAAGTAGTGTAGCAGGAAACCATAGATGCCTTTTGATCACAGGTCAGGCAAAAGAGAGCCACTTATTGGATTTTCCCCTTGCTTCTGTTTGCTAAGGTGTCCCAGTGGATCTATAAGTCTGTTGATGTTAGCTTTTTCATGCTCCGTCGCTGAGCTAAACTTGAGGCTGCAACAGGCTCTAACACTGGCTGAAATGTCTTGTGATTCAGTGCAGAATATGTAGCAGCCATGGCTCCCTAGAGAACAATGAAATATATAAAAGGCTGTACGGGTCATTTTTATCAGAAAATAAAGCAATTTAATATGCAATTCTTAATTAACTCTAGAAAAAAAATCCCAGGACTTACGGCAGGTCATGCACATTCTCTAAACTTTGTTTTTAAAAAAAAACAAAACAAAACGCATTTATTCCTGAATCCTTCAGGTTTCTAAGCATGGGATCTGACATTTTCTTTCCCGTGTATTTCTTTTACATACCTTAGATGTAGGAGTAACCTTTTAACGTGGATCAGAATTAGTACCTTCCAAGCAATATTAGCACCCATTTATCAAACACAGCCACTCGAGTGGCTATTCACGTCCTGACTTATGAAGACAAAACAATTAAGACTGGCTATCACAGGTCCCTGTTTTTGAATCCAACAAAACTAATTAAGTGAACTTAAAAGCTGTCTGCATACAGTAGAATAACTGTGTTTCTGACTTGTGACACAAAACCACAGAACAGATAAAATACCAGTGGAAAAACTGCAGCGTCGTTTATTAATTTATATAGGAAAGCAGAATATGAGCCGGTCAGAAACAAATCCCAAAAGATTTCTTGAATAAGAATGCTAGGAGACCTGTGGAAAGCTCAGTCTCAGACAACTGTCTCACCAGGTTCCCATGTGGCCAACGCTACCTTAATCTTTGCAAACAAAACACCCAGAAAAATCTCTTTCTTTACACACAGGTTTAAAAAAATCAATTTGCCAATAATTTGTCTGCTTAGGTAACTTAAATATGTATGTTCTAGGGGAAACAAACGAAAGATGATTTCTTTTCTAAAGGAAAAGAAAAAAAAAAAAAAATAGTTCTGCCTGTAGCTGTAAGAGTGACCCGATTCGTTGCGCATCAACCAGCTCAAGCAACATTCAGCCTTCAGGTTGTTTTACCTTTACTAGATGTGGTGCATCTTGCCTGTTTAGTTGATAATGCGGCAACTGGTCCCTACAGGCTATCCATGAATGTTTTAATACTTGCTCTGCTGTATACCGCTGATGTGGATCTACATGAAGCATATGTGATAACAAGTCCTAGATAAAAAAAATGAAAAACACATACTATTCAGTTAAAATAATCTTAGGCAGACTTTAAAGCATTAATTATGGCAGCAATGAAAAAAGTACCCTATGCGGCAGGGATTAACACAATGCAAACACACACAAAAATCAGCAGATAAATTGGATCATTCTGTGCCTTGACACCGCAGAAGTCTGAAAACAATGTGTTGTACTATTTAATCAGTTTGACAGAGCAAGCCTTTATTGTAAAGAAACTTACTGCTGTTTGTGTGTTTCATAGTTCAGTTTATTATTAATATAATCTTTAAAAGACTAGAAATCCTATTAAAATTTAGCAGACAGATTTTATGGAAGAAAGCTATTATTTGCAAACATCTCTCCTCATTCGTACTGCACATTTGGGGTCTGCTGACTATGTACTACAATTGAATTCATATATAGTGATATACTACCAAAGAATCTTTCCCTCAAGGAGCTATATAAAGAGTAAAGCCAAAAGAAACGGACACTCATTTTTGCCTGGTTAGAAGCATGAGCAATAAGCTACTAATTACAACGTTGGTCAAAAGAAGAGCTGGGTGGGAAGGACACAGAACAGAGACAGGAATAGCTTGAAAGAAAACAAAATACGAACAAGCTGACAGAATGTTCCCTTTGTTTTAGGTACAAAATGTTAAGCATTCTTAAATATACAGAAGTGAATTACTTGGGCTAAGACAGCATCAGCCAACGAGTATTCTGAATCACTCCTACCAAAATGAACAAATAGTGCAGTTCCAAAGGATCAGGAAAAGATTTCATATTAATGCCAAGCTTTATAAAAGGTAACAGTGGTGACTAAGATACCTACAGACCAGACCAACAGCAAACCCACAGAGCACATACAGCAACTGATGAGAGATGCAGTCTTTAAATAAAAGGACAGCTGCATAATCAAGCTGATCAAGATTTTTGGCAAGATATCCAGATATATTTGGTTGTTCAAGTACTAGTTTAATTGCTGAAAGTACTACCAAAGGAAAAAAAAAAAAAAGACAACCTGATGACTTCAGCGCTGAACGACACTTAAGAGATCGCACTACACAAAATATTAACCTATTAATGCAAGACTGGCTAGCTACTAGAACAAACAGGCAATTGTAAAAAGTCATCTCTCCGTTTAAGGAATCCCACAAACACCTGATTTTGGTCCAAAAAGCCAAGGAATAAAAGAAATACTCATGATTAGAAAAGCCTATATTGGGATTTATCTTATTTAAAACCTTTTATCAGTGACCTGGGGGAAGCAAGAGCGCGCACTCTTGCCAAGTCTGCAGTGGGGCACCGAACTGGAGGCGTGGGCAAAGAGCTAGTGAGTTCAAGGGCAGGGCAGCCATCCAAAGGTACCTCGGTAGGATGGAGTAATGAGCTAACCAGAGCCATACAAAATTCAGCAAGGACAAATGCAAAGTCCTGCGTTTGGAAAGGAAGAAACCGTTGCCAAGGCAAAGGGTGGGGACTGACTGGCTGGGAACCAGCGTCGCCGAGAAGGACTAGGAGGGTTTGGTGGCAGACAAACAGAACCTGAACTACCAGTGCGACCTGGCATCCCTGGCGGCTGACAGCATCCCAGGCCAAAGCACAGCAAGGAGACTGAGGGAGGTAATTGCATTCCTTTAGTCAGCACGGCCAAAGGAATGGAGACAGAGGACAAGGTAAAACATGAGATGTTTTGGCTTGAAATTAGGAGCTGCTTTTTCCTCATTATAGCAGTTGAGCAGTGGAAAAGGCTGCCCAGGCAAGTTGTTCAGTCTCCACCCTTGGAGGTTTCCAAAATCAGACTGAATAAAGCCCTGAGCTACCCGGTCAGATCTCACAGCTGACCCTGCTTTGAGCAGGAGGTTGGACTGGATGACCTTCATTGCAATGAAGTCTGCAGCTAAGCATAGCAAACTACTGCGTTAAGTCTTTTATAAAAAGTTCAGCAGATGTTCATTTGAATTCTACAAAAATATAAGAACAAAACCAAAACACATTTATACCTTTGCTGCATCTGAAACAGTGTCCCAGTTGCCTCCACTTAAAGAGAATTTTCCACTGCCTATCCGTACCAGGATCTCCTCTGGAGTATCATTAGGACCATTGGCAAATGGAGTATAGCTGTTGAAAGGAAAACACACCAGAACACCTCGTTATAAGTAAGAAGCTGCAACAAATTGGTAAAATGTTGTGAATCATTCTGAGTAGATATCCCACTGCTGACAGAAACAGACTATATATTATTAAATACTTCTTATATTAACATTTCATCTTCAAAATCGTATTATTTTCTTTTCCCCATAATTGTGGTTAATCAAGTAGAATAAATGGGAAATGCAGACTAAAAAGATGCCTTAAGTGAATATCTTAATAACGCTTCTAATCAGTGCAGTCTTTCAAGTTAAATAGAAGTGATTCATAAATACAAATTATGCTAGATTACCACAGCATGTCAAGTAATCCAAACCTGGAATAATACCCTAACAGAACAGCCCAATAAAGCTGGAGTAATATCATGTTTAGCGTATGTGCATTTAATTAGACGGAGAATGAGTACAACGTACACACGTCTGTCATTTGGGGAAAAGCTACAAGAACATTTGAAATGATAGGTTTTTTTACTTAAGTGAATTTGGGAAGCTTAAACCACAAGATCATGGGGTTTGGAGGCTTGTAACAGTTTACAGGGTTTCCTGTAAATTTGCCTTATTTTCTGCAAATCCTACTGCAATGAACTTGAAAGAACTTGATTGGCAAATCTGAATTGCTTGAATACACCTTTTAACAATTTCGAGAGTATTACGACGTCTGGCATCTCCTATGAGCACAGGCTAGTACCAAGTTAGTTTTAACTATAAAACCCAAATCTTACTCTGATTAAGTAGTTACATCATAATACCCCATAGATCTCAAATTAGCTTGCAAACAATAATAATTAAGCTTAATGAATTCTATCTTAGTACTTTGAAAGCTCTGCATAGAAAAAAAGATCAACCAGCATTATCAACAGAGGTTTAGGAACTATCCCAGCCAGTTAGTTCTGATCTTTCAGTTGATGAACTTAAGAGGAGCAAAATGGAAAAAGAAGAATTCATGCTGGACCATTCCTCCCCCATACTTTTGACCTGCCATACCTTCTGTTCAGACAACGTTTCTCAAGTGTGCAAGCAGTATACTGCCCGATATCTGCACACTTGCACTTAAATCACACAGCAGTCTGAGTTTGGATGGTAAAACTGTAGTGGTGGTGTCAATTTTACATGTGGAAGTATAAATTTATCAAGAGGAACGGTTTCCAATAGATAGCATTTATCTATAAGGCAAAAAAAAAACATCTGGTATTTTTCTGTTAGAGCAGAATTCAGAAAACCTTTTCTCATTCAGCCACTAAGCACTTCACAGTGCTAAATGAAAGTTTAGAGGTTTAGAAAACTTAAGAGGTTACAAGCCAGTGTGTTCTACAAAAGAATCAAGGGGTCAAGCCTGTGGCAGGAGATACAAGAAGGTGGACTACACGGGTACTAAGGTGGGGAGGACAAAAGGCACAAGGAGAAAGAAGAAGAAAACCACCACATACTTTCACAGACTAAATTCTCTCCTGGAAACTGGGGAGAGTTTTTGGCATCCCCCAGTCATGGACTACAGAAGAGAAAAGCCTTGAACCTACCTGTAAGATAAGCCTAGTTTATGTACGCGTTTACTTACAGCTTCCTGTTCCACTTCAGTGTCTTTGTCATTCTGCATTCAAATCAATGAGGTAATATCTCACAATTTTAACGAAAGCATGGATTCATGCAGCATGCTGGAATTTTAGGTAGATGAAAAAGCTAAGAAACATTTCTCACCCTGCCAGCATTGTGTACAGAAGAACACCCAAGCTCCATATGTCACAAGCAGCATCATATCCCTGTCTCATGAGAACCTATAAAACAAAGAGTGTTAAAGACTTTTCATATATTAAAAAAACACCCCAAACCAATACCACTACACACAGCCTAAGGAAGGGTAAGTCAATCCCAGGATAATTTCAGAGGCTTGATTATTTATTTTTCAATATACAGGTTACAGTAATTACCAGCACTATTTCTTGTTCCCAGAACATCATCTCTTAAGATTCTCAACAGGCTTACATCTTACTTTTGAGGGTGGATTCTGCTATTTTTAAAGCAGGTTTATTATAAACATATGCACCAGTGTTTGGAAAGTATGTATAATTACACTTAAAAAAAAAAATTCTGCTAGTTTTCCTTAAGCACTGCTAAAAAGTTTAAGTACTTGATGCATCAAAAACAGCACAGAGAAAACACATGGCAGTTTAAAATACCTCTGGTGCCACAAAGTTTGCAGTGTAGCACGGAGTTAGAAGTAGTCCATTTTCTCCTCGAAGTTGTTTTGCAAATCCAAAATCACAAATCCTGATAGAATCAGCATTATTTGAATCATCCGTATATAAAATATTACTAGGCTTAAGGTCTCGATGCACTACCTTTAAACAAAGAATTTTTAAGATCTATCATTTAGAAGTTGCATGTACATTTGTGCGTAATTTGCAGTTTATAAAAACTATTCTTCTCTAGTTTAATATACCTATTAACAGTTTTACACAATTATCTAACTTTCAAGTAACAAAAAATTCTAGTTCAAGTAATGTCATAAAAAAGCCTACTGGCTCATAATGCAACTGGAACCAACATAACCATTTGCCGACAAGCATAAGAGAACAAATATCTGCTGTTTCATAAACTGTAAAAGTAGAGTCAAAAGGGCTTGCCAGAATAACAGGATGAGTTGTTTGTATTTTTCACCTTTGTGATAAAATACTCAGAAATCTTCTTCCCTTCTGCCATAAAAACAAGCCAACCAAAGCACGTAACAAAAGGAGTTTGTTAATTTTAAGAAGCGTGAAAGAAGCTGTGTCATAGAAGAAATTACTCACTCCTTGGCAGTGCAGGTAGTCCACAGTCTTAGTTATAGTGTATAACACAGCGCTAGCCTCTCGTTCTGAGAAAAACTTCTGTCTGAGAATTCGATCAAGCAGCTCTCCTCCTTTCATCAGTTCAGTGACAAGGTATATGAATCTACCATCATCGTACACCTGACGAGAAGTTGAACAAGCGCACGTATATAAATACACACATATACATTAAAAAAGACCAGCTATAATTACACATCCTGATAAATGTGAAAATTACGGACTAGATTGTTCACCTATTCACATATGAACATAAAGCACAAACAGCAGGGACTAAAAAATTTAATTCTGCAATTCAGGAGCCTTAAAGCATGAAGTATAAGAAAGCTTGTGGCTCATTCTGTGAGACATTGAGGTAATCGATTGCTAATTCACAACTCGGAATTAAATTTTTCAGTCTAGGAACTTTGGTTATAAGAGGAGAGTAGCCCTACCACTCCCTATTGCTCTTCTCCTCCATGGAGGATTTTTAGCTGCTGGCACCTTGCATATGTAGGACAATATGCAACTGCTTTTTCAGGTTCAGGTTACCAACGCATTAGCTAGTCATTTGAAATAAGAGGAAATACGACATTTCTAACCTTTACATCATTTCTCACTTCAAGTTAACTAAACAGCATTTAGAGAAAAATTGTATCATGACAATGTCGTATTTTGAAATACTTGACACTTTACTGTATATACTACTCTATTTTACTATGTAAAATAAATTTAAGAAATCCCAATAAACTCCCTACATCTATATTTACTTATTGACTACTGTGTAATAAGACATAGCAGAGAAAAAAGAGGTACATACATCCTTTAAAGTGATAATATTTGGATGTTGTCCATAACGCATGAGAATTTCAATTTCTTCTGAGGGATCCCTCTTACTTTTATCAATTATCTGCAAAATATAGCAACAGGAAAAGCAACTTGGCTAAACAAAGTCTATTAAATAATGGTTTTGTATTCTCACTTCAACAACAGATTAAACAAAACTTTCTAGAATTCATTACTTGCTAATCATGACTAATTCACCTTTCAGCTTCACATCCCACTGTTTATTCATTTCTTGCTCTACCCTTGCTACCAGTCAAAACTGTATCATTAATGCAGTCTACTCTGCTCCAATAGACAAGGAAACACAACGGACTACCTGAAGCATCACTACTTCCCTGCAGCCCAGTTCTACCTTCATGGATCTTACTAGATATATTTCAGGTGTGCTCATCATCGTACAATATTTTCAGGCTTCAAGATTGTAACCGCAAAGGCAGTTCTTCAAGTCCACCCACAAAAAGAGCTATAGAAGCCAATACACATTTAAACAAATGAAGCAAACACCGTTTTTCATTTCCCACAGCATATAAACAGCTACAGTAACTAGACAATTCATGCATTGAAATTTCCAAGTCTACTACACAAGAATTTCGGAACTGTCAGTGAAATGTCTTCAAAGTACCTTTACAGCAAACTCCATATTTGTAGCTATGTGTATACATCGCTTGCAAACAGAGTAGGAACCAACACCAATATCTTCCTTCAGTTCGTATACATCAGTAAACTGTGCGCTGTTTCCATGAAGTTGCTTTAAAAAACAAACACGTACAAGCTGTTATCTAAAGCAACAAGACACTCTTTACCATAATACTGTTTCCAACTGCATAAGTTTCTGCTGCTTGTCCACGCTTTCTCTTTCAAATTCTGCTTCCAGAAAAAACAGCAACTCACTTCTTAAAATTTAAGAATATCCCACAGAAGCATTTTAATAACGCACACTTTGTAATAGCCTCCCCAGCCAAAAAAGAACAGACTGTAAATACTAAATACCAGTCAATCTTCGGCACGTCAAAAAAGTTACCCAAAAAATAAAATGTTACCTGAACTATTGGCAGTATGTTGGTGAGCGGTGATATTTTATGATCTTCTACAGTAGTCGTTGCAACAAAACTAAATCCTTTGAAGAGCTGATGCGCATTCGCACTAGGTGGGACTCCTGGAGAATCTGGTGGCATACATATTGGATTAGCATGGCTAAATCCTAGCAAGTGTGGTTTTTAACATTCAGGAGAGATATGGTGGAAGAAACATTTTGAGGGAAGGGAAGCAAACAAGGGCAATGCTAGATGCTGAATAAGACTTCTAGTCAGTTATCTGTCTTCACTTATTGAAATAACACACACAAAGCAAGTATTCCTGGGGTTTATCTAAAACTGCAAAACACTGCAGGAACTCACGTATGAATACATGGTTTTTAGGAAGAGGGTTACTGAAGCACAACACTACTTATGAGAAAGAAACAAAGATCGTAGTCTTATGTTCAAGGACTGCAAAGAAGACTGCCCACAGGTTTCGCTACTTCAGTGCTGTATGTGCGGCTGGCAAGGCAGAAGTGAGGCAATACAAGAATATTCAATTAGTAATACTACTGAATAATTAGAAGCAATTGTTCCTCAGATTATGTGCTCCTCTGAACTCACTGTTTGAAATGTCACAGTAAGCACAGCTTGATAATTCTGTGTAGCCTGTTAGAACCATAGACATTCTCCAAACAAACATGACAAGTGGTTTTAAAAGTTGCAGCAGTAAAGAAAAAAATTCACAAAAGAAAACCTGAAGTCAAACTTGAAGCACATTAAGCAATAAGTGTTTGCACTTACTGTCTTTGTTTCCAAGTTCAGTTACTTGGAAATTTTCATAGCGCAATAATCTAGGGGATATTTTAAAGATAAGTTTTAATAAGCTTCTTGAAACCATTTGAGATGTCTTTGCAACTGATCTAGTAGTGCAGGTACCCGGTCATAGAATCATAGAATCAT